AATAATAGTTTTTTTTTTTTTTTAATTTTAAATTAAAAAATAATTTTCTAATAAATATACTGTGTAATATATTAAATCAAAATATATATTAATCAACATTCTATTTCTAAACACCTTAAATAGCTATTTAAGAAAGAAAAGAAATAAACAGATAAGATCAACCAAATCAAACACACCCGTAGCTACAAAATCACATACTCCATCTCCAAAATTTGTATTTAGGCTCTTTTTTTTTTTTTTTTTTTTTTTTTTTATACTTACAGTCAAATATCTCCCACTCAACTTTTATATACCTTGTAATTAAAATTTTAAAATAATTTTAAGATAAATTTACATATAAACTTAATGTATTTTAAAAAATTAATTTTCTCAAGACATTGCATTTAGGCATTCAGCTCCATTTAGTGAGTTTTTGAAATTCTCTTCGTTTTTTATTTTTTTATTTAAAGAAATGCCATGTTCTGCCAAAAACAAAAAAAACATCATAATATGATGTGATGCGTAAATACAAAGGAAAAAAAAAAAAATGTTAATCTAAAAGAGAGGAGGTAAGCCAAACGCAACGTTGCAATGCGCAGAGAGAAGGACAAGTCCACTTCAACTCCATCTCTCCATCCCCTTCTTCGCTAATCATACACACTCCTTCAGGCTTTTACTTCACGCTCCCTCCTTCCAAATCCATCCCCAATATGACTTCATTTCTCCTCATTCTCATGAAAATCCTCACTCTTTTCAACTCCTGAATCCACCCATTCAATACCCATTTTCAGAAACTAGATACCCACATCGAATTCCTTCATTTTTTTCATTCAACTATGTACTTATCGGAGAAACCCCGTCCGATAGACTTGTACAAGGAAGAGGGGGGCGGAGCCACAGCTCGTGACATGATTATTGAGGTCACCCCCAATGGGGATTTGCCGCCTCACACCCAGCACCCCCACCACCAGCAGATGATTCTGGGGGATAGCAGCGGTGAGGACCATGAAGTTAAGGCACCTAAGAAGCGGGCGGAGACCTGGGTGCAGGATGAGACCAGGAGCTTGATTGCGCTGCGGAGAGAAATGGATAGTTTGTTTAATACCTCGAAGTCGAACAAGCACTTGTGGGAGCAGATATCGGCGAAGATGAGAGAGAAAGGGTTCGATCGGTCGCCGACCATGTGCACGGACAAGTGGAGGAACTTGTTGAAGGAGTTTAAAAAGGCTAAGCATCAAGATAGAGGAAGTGGGTCGGCGAAGATGTCGTATTATAAGGAGATTGAGGAGATTTTGATGGACAGGACTAAGAATGCGCACTACAAGAGCCCTACTCCTCCTCCTCCTCCCAAAGTTGATTCCTTCATGCAGTTCTCTGATAAAGGTATGCGTTTCTGTTGAAATTTTGCTAATGGTTTGTTTTTTCTTTTAAGTTTTTAACACTAGAATCTGATTTCATTCGTTCTTTCCACTGATTTTCATCTCTGATTGCTGAAGCAAGATGCTGGTTTTGTCTATAGATCTCTCTAATTTTAGGAGAAGATGATTGTTTAAGATGAAATGGAACTGTTTGTCTTAGTAAACTTTCTTTCTATTTCTGCTTCTGGCAGCTGGTACTGGTAGTACGGGATAGCCTGTCTATTCACTACTGTTCGTTCCTAATCCTAACGGTTTATTGTGTATTTTCTCTGCAAATTCTGATGTTTTAACCTTTTGCCATCTGAATTGGCATTTCTAAGGCTTCTCGTTTCTTGAGAGCGCCATAAAATTGGGTGAAAAGTCACGTTTTTGGTCATTTAGTCAAGTCCCTATAGGATATGAGATGGATTCGACTTCCATTTTTGTTAAAGGCTTTCAAAAATTATAAAAGCTGATCACTTGAAAACTGCTACTTTGAAAGCTTTTTACATCATGGAGTATAGATAGCTACATGATAAATCTACTAGCAAAGTGATGTTGATTCTAAAGCAGGATTTGGAACATAGAGACTTGTATAATGATGTTTTGAAGAATCGAGCGGAATGATCTTACTTGCTTTGTTAAAGGCAAGCAAGAGAGGTTTAATGGTAGCAAAACTTGGATATTTTGTATTCAAGTAGTCAGGAAACTGGCATTTTCCACATTTCTACTTAAGTAGCACCGTCTTTCTTTCTTCCTTTTTTTTTTTCTAAATTAACAACAAATTTCGCCGTGCTGTTCAGAAAAAATTTTGGCAAAATACCCAAATCCACCCCAAAGTATAGTGGTAGGACGGATCTACCCTCGAACAAAGAAGAGACAAATCCACCGATAAAGTTTTCGACTTGGACAAATCACTCCAAATTTAACGTGTGACGTCAGTTGATATCAGTAATTCGTTAATTTGTTAACGAATTATTGACGTCAGATGACGTCAAATTAATAGATTGCTGATGTCAAATGACGTCACACGTTAAATTTGAGGTGATTTGTCCAAGTCGAAAACTTTGTGGGTGGATTTGTCCTCATTTTTTGTTTGAGGGTGAATCCATCCCTGCCACTATACTTTGAGGGTGAATTTGGGTATTTTGCCAAAAATTTTCCTCCTCTTATTCTTTTTATTTTTAACTTACACAATAAAATCAAATCCTTTCCCAAACCTGAACTTCATAAATCACTATAGAAATTATTGTTTTTTTATTTTAATTACATAAGAAGAGATATTTTTTTTACTGTATTTTATTCATATATTATGTAAATTAAATTTAAAAGTTTTTATTTTTAATAAAAAATTATTATTAAATTATTTAAATTTATTGGTATAGAAATTATTATTAAATCACTTAGATTTGAAATAAATATTCATTGAATAGTAATATATTAGAAAAAATAAAAAAAGACTAATATAATAGTAGAGTAGGATCAATTTATATTGATAAAGTTTAAGAAACTCTTACATTAAATTTTAGTCACATATGAAAAATTTTAAGAAATTATCTTGAAAGTTCTATAATTACATTAATAGTTAAAATTTTAAAATGAGTGTCTAATATTCGTGTACTATTTCTTTTTTAGTTCATTGAAGCATTAGTTATAAGTTGAACAAATGTTCGAATTCATGATTTTGACTTAAAATTAAAATTTTTAATTAATAAATATTAATTCAATTAAATTTGTATTAGTAAAAATTAATATAAACTTACATTAATATAATTTGAGTCTAATTCATAGAGAACTATCTTTCTCTATGTATTTTGCATTACTCCATTGCTGCAGAATGATTTTATTTATCAATTAAATTATAAAAGGATTTGTTTATTTTGTAATTATTAGATAATAATAATTTTTTTTTAAAAATATGTACTATTTTAAATTAAAAAATAAATTTTAATTTTAATTTTAAAATGAATAAATAAAAAAATTAATATGTGATATTTGTAATTAAAATAAAATTTTATTTTATTTTTTTTAAATAAAAATTTTTATAATAATTATATAATTATTATTTTTTATCTTAAATAAATCTATTATAATATTATTGGCCAATATTACAATTTTATTAATAAATACATTCATTTCCTTCCCATCAGCTTTGTTTCCTCCAACCAAACGTTCCCTTAGATGGATGGCTCTTCTTATTTTTCAACATTATGATATAGAGATTGTTTTTTTATATTATTTTTTAATATACTTTTTTTATATTATTAAATAAATAAATAAATTTATCAAATGTTTATTTTATAATAGTTTAAATAAGACCACTAACCACCACACTAAATGTGCTCCTAGTTATATATGAATGGATGAGAGAGAGATAAGAGGATGCTGCGTTTCATTTTACAAAATCTAAAATAAGAAAACAAGTTTATAATTTCAATGTTTTAGGATGTCACTATAGAAATTAAAACAAATTTAATAGAAATTAAAACAACTTTAGTAGAAAAGAGTATCTTTAAAATGGGTAAGGTGTGAGTATAATTC